TACAGAGTTCAGCTTTTGAAGAACAAATGAATCATTTGCTTCGGAGACTTTTTTTTTTTTTTTTTTTTGCAGAAGACCTGGGAAGAAGGTGTGACAACCTGTTTTTCCGCCAAAGGGCTTTCCGAGGGGATTAATCGAGGCTCATTGGCAGCTGTTTTTAAAGCCAAACGGATCCTCCATAATCCAGAGCAGTCTATATGTCAATTGGCACGGGGTCACCCTTGTTGCTAAAACAGACAGGTGTGATGGAGTTTCCTGCCTGAGCGGGGGGTTGGACTAGATGACCTCCCAGGTCCCTTCCAACTTTAATAATAATAATAATAATAATAATAATAATAATAATAATAATAATAATAATAATAATAATAATAATTTGAAATGGAATAGGGTTTCCTGCCTGAGCAGGGGGTTGGACTAGATGACCTCCAAGGCCCCTTCCAACTTTTTATTACTATTATTATTATTATTATTATTATTATTATTATTATTATTATTAATTTGAAATGGAATAGGGTTTCCTGCCTGAGCAAGGGGTTGGACTAGATGACCTCCAAGGTCCCTTCCAACTTTATTCTTATTATAATATTATTAATAATAATAATAATGATAATTTGAAATGGAATAGGGTTTCCTGCCTGAGCAGGGGGTTGGACTAGATGACCTCCAAGGTCCCTTCCAACTTTACTATTATTATTATTATCATCATCATCATTATCACCATCACCATTATTCTGAAATGGAATAGGGTTTCCTGCCTGAGCAGGGGGTTGGACTAGATGACCTCCAAGGTCCCTTCCAACTTTATGATTATTATAATATTAATAATAATAATAATAATAATTTGAAATGGAATAGGGTTTCCTGCCTGAGCAGGGGGTTGGACTAGATGACCTCCAAGGTCCCTTCCAACTTTATGATGATGATGATGATGATGATTATTATTAAGGGAGCTTTGTCCCATTTTACGACCTTTCTCGCCACAGGTGTGAAAAATGAATCATTGCAGTTGTTTAAGTAAGTCACACGGTCGTTAAGCAAATCTGGCTTTCCCAGCGACTTTGCTTGTCAAAAAGTCGCAAGAGGGAATCAGTCACGTGACCCCAGGAGACGGCAACCATCGTAAATATGAGCACTTATTTATTTATTTATTTTTAAAATTTATAGGCCGCCCAACCCCTAGGGACTCAGGGCGGCGTACAAAATTAAAACAATAAATATAACAATAAAAACAAGTGCATTCATACAGCATGTCCCAATCGTATCCCGCCCCCCCCCCGGGGACATCAGCCCCAGGCCTGCCAGAACAGGAGAGTTTTAATGGCTTTCTTAAAGGCCGGCAAGATGGGAGTAGTTCAGATCTCAGGGGGAAGTTGATTCCACCAGGTCGGAGCCACCACAGAAAAGGCCCTCCCCTGAGGGCCCGCCGGCTGACATTGTCTGGCCAACGGGACCTGAAGGAGGCCCAATCTATGGGACCTCACCGGTCTCTGGGAACTGTGCGGCACTATGCGGTCCTGTAAGTAACCTGGTCCTAAGCATCTGAATTTGGATCACCTGACCAGGGCTGCAAAGGTCATTAAGTGTGAAAAATGGTCCTAAGTTGCTTCTTTCACTGCTGTTGTGACTTTGACCGGTCACTAAACAAATGGTTGGAAGTCGACGATCGCCTGTAGTCCCCCCACCCGGAGAAGGGGTTCACTTCACTCTGTGCATGCTCAGAGTTGCCCTCACTTTGGGGGGTGGTCCTCCAGGGGAGTGTAGGACTGCAGGAGGTGACCTCTGAGTTTTCAGGGTTGCTCTACGCGTGCCTTATGGGCTTTGTGAATTGTGATTGGCTTTGTCGTTTTTCAGAGTGGTGGCTGCAGAAAGCTGGTGTGTGTGTGTGTGTTGTGAGAGACAGACAAACAGAGAGAGAGAAGAGAGAGAGAGGAAAGAGGAGAGACAAGAGATAGAGAGAGAAAAGAGAGAGAGGAGAGACAAGAGAGAGAGAAAAGAGAGAGAGAAAAGAGAGAGAAGAGAGAGAGAAAAGAGAGAGAGAGAAAAGAGAGAGAAAAGAGAGAGAGAAAAGAGAGACAAGAGATAAAGAGAGAAAAGAGAGAGAGGAGAGACAAGAGAGAGAGAAAAGAGAGAGAAGAGAGAGAGAAAAGAGAGAGAGAGAAAAGAGAGAGAAAAGAGAGAGAGAAAAGAGAGACAAGAGATAAAGAGAGAAAAGAGAGAGAGGAGAGAGGAGAGACAAGAGAGAGAGAAAAGAGAGAGAAGAGAGAGAGAAAAGAGAGAGAGAGAAAAGAGAGAGAAAAGAGAGAGAGAAAAGAGAGACAAGAGATAAAGAGAGAAAAGAGAGAGAGGAGAGAGGAGAGACAAGAGAGAGAGAAAAGAGAGAGAGAAAAGAGAGAGGAGAGAGAGGGATGAGAGAGAGAGAAAAGAGAGAGGAGAGAGAGAAAAGAGAGAGAGAGGAAAGACAAGAGATAGAGAGAGAAAAGAGAGAGAGAAAAGAGAGAGGAGAGACAAGAGAGAGAGAAAAGAGAGAAAAGAAAGAGGAGAGAGAGAAAAGAGAGAAAAGAGAGAGAGGAGAGAGAGAGAGGGACGAGAGAGAGAGAGAGAGAGAGAGAAAAGAGAGAGAAGAGAGGGCTGGCTGAGGAATTCTGGGAGTTGAAGTCCACAAGTCTTAAAGTGGCCAAGTTGGAATACCGCTGACTCAGAAGGTTGAAAGCCTTTGGGAAAGGACGACACCATCTCTGCCTGCCCAAATTTGCTTCACCATCAGATGGCAGCAAAGGGCCAATATTTCCCGTGTGGCTTTGCTGCCCTCTTGTGGAGGTCGCCATTTTTGCAGCCCAAAAATCTCGCAGCCCTAAGCTGAAATGTGATTGGTTCATTTGTGGTTTCAAGCGGTTGAACTGCGGATCAGCCAACCGCATCTTACTTTTGCCCTCCCGTCTACTCCCTGCCGGGCATCCCATCCCCATGCTGGCTAGGGAACCCTGGGAGTTGAAGTTTAGTTACCTAGCAAGCGCCTGGACTGGGAAAGGCCGTCCTGCGTGTTGTGAGAATCCAGGCAGTGTGGTTGGTTTACGGCAGTGTTTCCCAAACTTGACAATTTTAAGGCATGAGGACTTCAACTCCCAGAATTCCACAGCCAGCAACGCTGGCTGTGGAATTCTGGGAGTTGAAGTCCACATGCCTTAAAATTGTCAAGTTTGGGAAACACTGGTTTACGGTAAGAAAGGGGTGTACGGTGTGAGCCCCCTAAAATTAGCTCGTTCGGGGCAAAGCAGAGGGAGGTTAACCCTGGGATGGCCAGAGCGCCTTGTGGCTGGTTCAGAGACCAGGACCTTTGGCGATTCCCACGCTGGGCTACAGTTAGGAGCACCCAGTAAACCATGGTTGAGACTAACCAGGTTGATTATTTATTGATGATCTGCCATCAAGTCGTTTTTGACTCTAAGTAACTACACAGATTGACTTCTGCTACCAGAAGCTGTGCCTAATCTGTTATCCAGCCATTGTAACTGAGGAAGGAAGGAAGGAAGGAAGGAAGGAAGGAAGGAAGGAAGGAAGGAAGGGAAAGAAGATGAAGGAAGGAAGGAAGATAGGAAGGAAGGGGGAAGAGAGTAAGGGAAAGAAGACAAAAGAAGGAAGGAAGGAAGGAAGGAAGGAAGGAGGGAAGGGAAAGGGAAAGAAGATGAAGGAAGAAAGGAAGATAGGAAGGAAGGAAGGGGAAGAGAGTAAGGGAAAGAAGACAAAAGAAGGAAGGAAGGAAAGGAAGGAAGGAAGGAAGGGGGAAGAGAGGAAGGGAAAGAAGGGAAAGGAAAAGAAAGGAAAGAAAGAAAAGAGAAAGAAAAAGAAGGAAAGAAAGAAAAAGGGAAGGGGAAGGGAAAGAAGACAAAGGAGGGAAGGAAAGAAGGGAAAAAGGAAAGAAGGAAAAAAGAAAAGAAAAATGGGATAGAAGGGGAAAAAAGGAAAGAGGAAGGAAGGAAAGAAAGAAAAAGAAAGAAAAGAAAGGAGAGGCGGGGAAGGGAAGGAAGGGAAAGAAGGCAGAGGAAGGAAGGAAGGAAAGAAAGGAGAAAGAAAAAGAAGGAAAGAAAGAAAAAGGGAAGGGAAAGAAGACAAAGGAGGGAAGAAGGGAAAAAGGAAAAAAGGAAAAATGTGATAGAAGGGGAAAGAAGGAAAGAGGAAGGAAGGAAGGAAAGAAAAAGAAAGAAAGAAAAGAAGAAAGGAGAGGCGGGGAAGGGAAGGAAGGGAAAGAAGGCAGAGGAAGGAAGGAAAGAAAGAAAGGAGAAAGAAAAAGAAGGAAAGAAAGAAAAAGGGAAGGGAAAGAAGACAAAGGAGGGAAGAAGGGAAAAAGGAAAAAAGGAAAAATGTGATAGAAGGGGAAAGAAGGAAAGAGGAAGGAAGGAAGGAAAGAAAAAGAAAGAAAGAAAAGAAGAAAGGAGAGGCGGGGAAGGGAAGGAAGGGAAAGAAGGCAGAGGAAGGAAGGAAAGAAAGAAAGGAGAAAGAAAAAGAAGGAAAGAAAGAAAAAGGGAAGGGAAAGAAGACAAAGGAGGGAAGAAGGGAAAAAGGAAAAAAGGAAAAATGTGATAGAAGGGGAAAGAAGGAAAGAGGAAGGAAGGAAGGAAAGAAAAAGAAAGAAAGAAAAGAAGAAAGGAGAGGCGGGGAAGGGAAGGGAGGAAGGGACAGAAGGCGAAGGAGGGAAGGAAAAAGACAGAGAGGAAGGAAGGAAAGAAAAACGGGAAAGAAAAGAGACCAGGAAGGAAAGAGAAAAGAGGGAAGGAAAAAAAAAACCAAAAAAAGAGAAGAAAAAGGAAAGAAAGGAAACCAGAAACCCAAGCCAAGGAAAGAAGGAAGGAAGGAAGGCCGAAAAAAGAGGAAGCGAGGAAGGGAGAGCAGCGGCCGGCCCCTTCCAGGAAGCCGCCTGGCTGCTCCGGAGCCTCCCCCTCGGGCCCTGATGTCAGCCGCCCTCCCCCGACGCCCAGGGCATAAAGCCAGGTGCGCTCACCTGGCGCGCAGGTAAAGGCAGCAGCAGCAGCAGCAGCAGCAGCAGCAGCAGCGCCCTCCGTCCGTCCCTCCGCCATGGCCAACTCCGGCTTGCAGCTGCTGGGCTTCGTGCTGGCCCTGCTGGGCCTCATCGCCCACCTGACGGCCACCATCCTGCCCCAGTGGCGGGTCTCCTCCTTCGCCGACGGGAGCATCATCACGGCCCAGTCCTTCTACATGGGGCTGTGGATGGACTGCGTCTGGCAGAGCACCGGCCAGCTCCAGTGCAAGGTCTACGACTCCATGCTCTCCCTGGGCGGTGAGTGGGGACCGGGTCCCGCGGGGGGGGGGGCGCCCACGCGGGGAGAGGGGGGGGCGAGAGGGGAGCCACACCTGTCGGGCTACCTGTCGAGCTACCTGCCTGCCGGCCGCGCCTTCGCCGCTTCCCGCCGCCGCCCACGCGTGGGAGCCAGGAAAGGCTCGCCCGCGGGCGCCTGCCTCGCCTCTCCCCGCGGGGCCCGATCGCCCGACACGCGTGGGCCAGGGGAGGAAGAGAGACCCGCGAGGGGGGGAGGCGGAAGGGACCCCCCCCTTTTTTTACACCGGTGGGGGGAAAAAAACACGCGCGGCCAGGGCAAAAGAGAAGGAAGGAAGGAAGGAAAAGAGGGAGAGAGAGGGAGAGAGGAGGGAGGAAGAAAGAAAAGAAAAAGAGAAAGAAAGAAAGAAAGAAAGAAAGAAAGAAAGAAAGAAAGAAAGAAAGAAAGAAAGAAAGAAAGAAAGAAAGAAAGAAAGAAAGAAAGGCGAAAAGGAGCCCCCTTCTTTTTTTTACACCGGTGTGGGGAAAAACATGCGCGGCCAGGGCAAAAGAGACAGAGAAGGAAGGGAGGGAGGGAGGGAGGGAGGAAGAAAGAAAGAAAGAAAGAAAGAAAGAAAGAAAGAAAGAAAGAAAGAAAGAAAAAGAGGCGGAAAGGACCCCCCCTTGTTTTTTTACACCGGTGTGGGGGGGAAACACGCGGGAAAAGGGGGGCTTCGGATCGGGCTGCACGGCGCGGTCCAGGAGGGTCTGGGGGAGGAAATGGGGGGGTTGCGGGTCGTGGGGGACGGGGGGGGAGAGAGAGCGCTCTGTGCGTGCCCCGGAGCCCTTTGCCCTCCTTTTTCCAGCCTCCCCTTCAAAATGGCCCCCGTCCTCCCCTCCAGTGGAGGGCAGTTTCCTTTCTTCCCGAGTCACCCGTTTTGGCCAAGGTGGGCGGGCGGGCGAGAAGGATACACGCAACTTTTAAGCCAACCCTTGATTGTTCGGTCGTGCGAAGCGGGAGGAGACGGCGCCCCTCCGGGAAGCGAGCCCCCTTCCTTCTTGGACGCCCTCTTTTTAATCTCACCCCCCAAAAAATATTTCAACAGGATCCCCTTCTCTCCAAGCCGGCTAAAATCCTGGAGGCTTTTAAAAAAAAGCCTTAAACTAAGATTTGAGGTTTTTCCAGCTAGGCGCGGCTCCGGTGGGATTTCCAGGTGTTTTTTTTTTTTTTAAAACTAATTCCTGGTTTAAAACAGATTAGCTTTGCAAAAAAAAAAAAAAAGCAAAAAAAAAAGAGCAAAAACTTGGCCCTTCCTTTCCCAAACAGTCGCCCCCCCCCTCCGCCCTCGCCCCCAGCATCTCCCAACTTTTGGAACTTTTCCAGGCACCTGTTCCCGGATTATTCTGCTTTTTATCCAATTTTTTTTTTTCTGGAAAGAAAAAAAAAAGACAATTTTTTGGGTGGCTTTCTCTCTTTCTAATTTTCTTTTTCTCTTTCTAATTTTCTTTCTTTTTTCTTTCTTTCTTTCTTTCTCTCTTTCTTTCTCTCTTTCTTTCTCTCTTTCTTTCTCTCTCTCTTATATTTTCTTTCTTCTCTTTTCAAAAACTGCCTGGCTTTCTCTCTCTTTCTAATTTTCTTTCTTTCTCTCTCTTTCTCTCTCTTATATTTTCTTTCTTCTCTTTTCAAAAACTGCCTGGCTTTCTCTCTCTTTCTAATTTTCTCTCTCTCTCTCTCTCTTTCTCTCTAATTTTCTTTCTTTCTTTCTTTCTTTCTTTCTTTCTTTCTTTCTTTCTTTCTTTCTTTCTTTCTTTCTTTCTTTCTCTCTCTCTCTCTCTCTCTCTCTCTCTCTCTCTCCTTATATTTTCTTTCTCCTCTTTTCAAAAACTGCCTGGTCTGGTTAGGTCAGTTCCTTGGGCCTTCTCCCCTCCCTCCCCTTTTCCCTCCCCCCCCCCAGCCAGCCACACCTTCAAAGGCCGCTTGCTACAAAAGGTGCAGGATGACTTTCCCCCCTTCACCCCCCCAGAGATATTTGAAGGAGGTGGGGCAGAAAGGAAGGAGGGGGGAGAGAAAAGAGGAATTGCTTCCGCTCTCAAAAAAGGCTGTGAGGCTGGAATTTGCTTTTCCCAGGCCGGGCACCCTCCGTGTAACACACCTGGCTGGGGTAGATGGGGGGGAATCACAGGTGAGGCTGGTGAAAAACCCAGGTGACCCCGTTGCCAAATTCAAGCCGAGTCCAGGCAGCAAATTTGACCTGAAAGAAGCCTATTTGAGCTGTTGTTTTTTTTTTAACCTGGCCAACTTTACGGACAAGTGGACTTCCAACAGCTGGGCAATTCTGGGAGTTGAAGTCCCGCCCATCTTAAAATGGCCAAGTTTGAGAAACGCTGCTTGGTAGACCCAAACTGTTAAAAAAAAAAAAAAACAATAATAATACCAATTTATTCCAGTAACTGGCCAGGTTTTTCACGTGGCTACTACAAAGAGTTTGCCAAAATTGAGAATATTCTGTGTATAAAATGAATATAAACTGTTGGGATTCTGAATGGGTGAATCCTGCTAGGTTGAATTTTGTTTATGGATGTGCTTATTAAATTTATATGCTGCCCATCTTGCAATGGAGCGGCTCGGGGCGATATTAAAGTTGTTAAAATAATAAAAGTCTGGGAAATATGGACAGGGGTTCTGCCAAAGCTCAAATTGGTTCTCCCCTCAATTGGATGATTGGGTGATTTTTCTCCTGGATGAAAAATAGACCATCATCCTCAGCAACTCCCAGTCCAGACTCCTTTACAAGCATGGTTTTTCTCAATATGGTATCATGTAAAGTGCTATTGGGAGGATCCCGTCTGCCCGGCGCAGTTCTGTCCTCAGTCCAGCTCCGCCTTTTATGTGGGTGTTTCTTTGCCAAAGAATTTTAAGATTTTATTTGCACTTTGTTGTTTTTAACTTGAGAATGGAATGCAGTGGGACAGAATTGGGTGCCAACTCCAAAATCAGATTTATTTATATATTTTTTGCCCCTGCTCAGTTTGGCATTGTGCTGTAACTTTGTTGGCCTGTTAAAATAAAATAATAAAAGGAAAATAGAAATAAATATAACAAAATGAAATCAAAGTAAAAAGAATAAAGTAAAATAAAAGTAAAATAGAAGTAGAAAGAATAAAGTGAAATAAAAACAAAATTGAAATAAAAAGAATAAAGTGAAATAAAAACAAAATAGAAATAAAAAGAATAAAGCGAAATAAAAGTAAAATAGAAGTCAAAAGAATAAAATGAGATAAAAACAAAATAGAAATAAAAAGAATAAAATGAAATAAAAGTAAAATAGAAATAAAAAGAATAAAATGAAATAAAAGTAAAGTAAAAGTAAAAAACAATAAAATGAGAAAAAACAAAATAGAAATAAAAGAATAAAATGAAATAAAAGTAAAAAAGAAGTCAAAAGAATAAAATGAGATAAAAACAAAATAGAAATAAAAAGAATAAAATGAAACAAAAACAAAATAGAAATAAAAAGAATAAAATAAAATAAAAGTAAAAAATAAAATGAGATAAAAACAAAATAGAAATAAAAAGAATAAAATGAAATGAAATAAAATCTGTAAAACCATCAAACATCCACACCTGCCTCTCCCAGGTCCTTGGGAAGGACTTGATAGGTAGACAAAAATACCAAATCTAGTCTGAACACCTGGCTGACTACGACGAATCATAAAATGAAATAAAACTAATGAAATGAAAGAAAAACCATCAAATCCAATCAAAAGAGTCAAATCAAATAAAAATAGATGAATGAGTTAAAAATAATCAAATCCAATCAAAATAGTCAGATCAAATAAAATAACAGTCAAATCCAATCAAAATAGAAAAGCGAACTAAAAACAATCAAATCCAATCAAAATAGTCAAATCCAATAAAACTAGAAGAGTGAGTTAAAAATAATCAAATCCAATCAAAATAGTCAGATCAAATAAAATAACAGTCAAATCCAATCAATGTAGAAAAGTGAATTAAAAACGATCAAATCCAATCAAATTAGTCCAATCCAATAAAAAACAGAAGTGAGTTAAAAATAATCAAATCCGAATAGTCAGATCAAATAAAATAACAGTCAAATCCAATCAATATAGAAAAGTGAAGTAAAAACAATCAAATCCAATCAAAATAGTCAGATCAAATAAAATAACAGTCAAATCCAATCAAAGTAGAAAAGTCAATTAAAAACAATCAAACCCAATCAAAATAGTCCAATCCAATAAAAAAACAGAAGAGTGAGTTCAAAATAGTCAATCCCAATCAAAATGGTCAAATCCAATCCAATCAAAACAGTCATCTCCAATGAAAATACTCAAACCCAATCAAAAAATAGAAAAGTGAATCCAAAACCATCCCATCCCATCCAAACAGCCAAAATAAAATAAAGTAAAATAAAAGCAACTAAAAAATAATCAGTGAATTAAAACAGGAAACCAAAACAGGCAGACCGAAAACTGCTCTCTTTGCGGGGTGTGTGTGTGTGTGTGTTTTTTTTCTACGTTGTTTCCCCCTTGGCTTGGAAAAAAAGGGGCTTAGATTTTGCAGAACCGCTTCAATAGTTTTGCAAAGCAGGAGACAGACCTCAACGAGTTTCTGGTTTGCTTGCAAAGACAACGTCTGGCCCAGAATGAGGAAATTTGGACTGCAGATTTTCCAGAATGGAGCAATTGTTTGAATATGCATGTCGGGAACAGGGGAGGGGGTGTGAACCAGGTGTGTAAAGTCTCCGGGACTTCCCGATGAGCAGGAGAGGAAGTGGGGGTAGGTGGGGGAGAAATTGGGAAGAGCTGAGCCATTAGCTCCTGGGCATAGTGGGGTGCCAGGATGCCCGTCGCCCGCTTGGTTAACCCTAATTTTTTTCTCCAGCCTGAAATTTCTCATCTCTGTTTATAAAACCAAAGTGTGTACCTGATAGCTTATCGCTTTCATGACTTGAGGAAACAAACCAAGTTTACCTTCTGGGATAAGGGGAACTTTGGGGTCAGCT